TGTGTGTGTGTGTGTGTGTGTGTGTAAACCCGTCCAGAAGACCTACAATTTTTTTCTTTTTGATTTTTTACCTGGATTACTGAGATGCATCAGGACAACCTGCCACAGATTACAGCTGGTTTGACACACAGATTAGATTAAATTAAACCTGTGAGTCTTCTTCAGTAAATAATCCCAGTGCAGGATCCCAGTCTGACCAGTTCAACGTGACTTCAGCAAGTTAAAACAAGCTGTTTAACGGGTATTTACGACACTTTTGTTTAACGGGTATTTACGACACTTTGTTTAACGGGTATTTGCGACACTTCTGACGGTTTACTCACCACAGCGTTATCAGTGACTTTAATGCAAAGATTTCCGTCGCAGTGTCGGTACTTCAGAACCACTCTGACCTGGAACATTAACACGTTTAACGGTTATTAGCTACAAACCGTCAGCGTCCAACAGTCGGGATGCTAACCAGCTAACCCGTGCTGTCCGCCATGTTCTCACCTTCATGGGATCCACCAGGTAAAGTTTCTCAGCCGCACGAGCGAACTCCTCCCAGGTGTGATAGTGCGGCATTGTTTCTGATGAAGTGACGTCACGATAATGATGTTTAAAGTCCTGTTAGTCTGCAGACACACACACNGGGCACCCCTGATTTAAAGTCAAACAGAGCAGGTCGACCCATAAAGCCCCCCACCCCAGTGAGCTGGTTCAGTCGGGGAAATCTCAGGCCCAGAATACAAACACCTGAGGTCCCCCTCGTCTCTGGCTCCTGTCTTTCACCACATTAGGTTGTGTTTGATGGAGACGAGCTCAGCTGATTTCACAAACAGAATTTTCTGCTCGCTCTGCGTTCAGCTGAGCACTGAGGACGTGTTTCTCCTCTCTTAATCTCCTTCCACTCCTCTTCCCCATCACGTCAGGATTTCCTCCTCCTCCTCCTCTTGTTTTTTTCTTCTTCATCACTCATAATTGTTGCCTCCAGATCGTCAACTTGCTTGAATTAGCAATTGGGCCGAGCAGAGCGGAGACGGTCAGTTGTTGGATTCTGAGAGTGTGCTCCGGCTGCGGTCGCTCCTCATCATCACCCCACTCCCTGTGAGGAAGAGGAGCGCTGTAACGCTTGCCCCTGGCCTGGGGAAAGGGATTTGGGTGTCTGGAGACAACAGGGGCCATATGGAGCGGGCTGAGATAGCGAGGCACCCGTACAGAATAATGGATGACGTGTCATGTTTCATGTTGCAGAGGAGCCATCAGGAGGCTGGGGTTGGGGAAATCAAAAGGCTCACATGCTGCTAAAGAGACGGTTGGACCATTTAGCAGGTTTTGATTATTTCCATGCTGGGAGAGCTCTGAATGTAGTTCTGTGGAAAATATGTTGCTTTTATTTCCATACCTGCGATCTGTGGAGGGTGTTTCTGAGATAAGATAAGATAAAACTTTATTGATCCCACAGTGGGGAAATTTGCACATTACAGCAGCTCAAAACAGGAC